CCAAGAAGCCCCACTCTTTCCACCGCCCCAGCCAGCATCCCTGTCATAGCACTGAGGGAGTCATTCCCATTTTGTAGTAGAGGAAACAGGTTAAAAGATTTGCCCAAGGTCGCACAGCTGGCCTGAGACAGAGCAGGGCTAGAACTTGGGTCCCTGGTCCCCAGAACAGAGCCCCAGAAGTCGGAAAGACAGGCAGTGTTTACCCGACGTCACCTCTGTCTCTCTCCCTGCACGCCCATGAAACCCAGTCCCCGGCATGTTAGGACAGGTGTTTAATGTTGACTCCCTGGGGATATTTGTCTTTTGAGGGGACCCTAACGTGAACTATGGCTCTGGGTGCGCGTCTCTGGCCAGCTCAGGCCCTCTGCCCAGCTGAGCCACGAGGCCCAGCAAGGCGAACAGAGGGAGGGAAGGGTAGCTGCAAGCTCTGGCCCTGCCGCAGATCAGCCCCCAGCCCCGCTCCATCCCCCCAGATACTCCGTCCTCCCTGACTCGGACCCGGAGCACTGCTTCTCCATCGAGCCTGAAGACGGTACCATCCGCACGGCAGCGCCCCTGGACCGCGAGGCTCGCGTCTGGCACAACCTCACAGTGCTGGCCACAGAAGTCGGTGAGGAGTCCCGGGCCCCCGGGAGACCCGGGAGGAGGCAGCAGCCTCCCAGCAGAGGGGCCGTCCCTGGGGACGTATGGGGGTGGGGGAGGGCGGCTAGTGCCATCACACCCTCACCCAGCGTACAGCCACTGGGTCCCCAGCCTGCATCATCACCACCAGGCAGGCCTTCTGGTCTCCTGCCTGGGCTGGGCACAGTGGGTCTGCCTGAGCATTTCCCCTCACCTTCAGTTGGCTCCCATACCTGACTTGCCCCAACCCGGAAGTAAACCTAACCTTGAATAGCTTCCTGCACCCTGGGAGACCCTGCCTGGCCCACTCTCTGCTTCAGGCTGAAGGGGCATCAGGGAAGGGCTGGGCCCCTCCTCTGGGAGCTGACCGGGGCCGGGGTGGGGAGGTGGTGCCAGGAGCCCCTCTCTGGGAAGCCCTGCTGGGAGCCCTCAAGGGTGGGGAGAGGGACCAGCTCCATGCACTGCCCATGTCAGTCACCGGTCACCAGTAGTGTGGTTCAGCCTTAGACCTCCCTCCCTTCTATGAACCTCTCCTCGCCACGCCTGCTCATGCCTCAGGGTCTCCTACGTTTGCCGTCTGTGTCCTGTTTAGGGAAGTTGCCACTGTGTGCATACATACTTGTACATGTCAGTGAAGAGCTATGTGCGTGTGTACACGTGGGTGTGTACTTACATGTGTATGATTCCATACGTGTGGAAAATACATATACATACATACCCATATGTTTGTGAGTATACGTCTATAGCTGCATATATGTGTACGTAGTTGAGTGTATAGAATTGTATTTATATTATTTGTGCATATGTGTAATTGGATGTATATAGTGATAGATACAAGTAGCTGTTTGTATATATTGTTTTGTGCATGTGTTTGTGGACAGATAGTAATAATTTACTATTTACTGTGTACCGGACACTGTTCTAAGTACCAAATGTGGATTAATTCATTTAATCATCACCACAACTTTATGAAGAAGGTACAATTTTTCCCCCCATTTTAAAGGGAGGAAACTCGGGCAAAGAGAAGTTAAGTAACTTCCCAAGGTCACACAGACATTAAGTGGTGGGGCCTCAGTCCCAGTCAGGCTGCAGAATCTCAGCTGTTATCTCCTCTGCCATACTGCCTCTCATACGTGTCGAATTGTATGTAGACAGGTTTATGTTTATGACCATGCAGCTGTGTGGAAGTGCATGCGTGTCTGTCCGTGTGAACATCCCTGTGTGTATTTGTGGTATATGTAGTGTGTCTGTGGCTGCCTGTGTATACGTAGCCCTGCGTGTGTGTGTGTGTGTGTGTGTGTATTCCTCTCGGTGTCTTCTCATCTCCTGCCAAATCCTGCACCCCACCCCTAGAAATCCCAGTATTGACTAGCAGACCCTGGGCCTTAACTGCAGCGAAGGAATAGACCCCAGCCCCGTCCCATCTCAGGGTATCCCAGACCCTTTAACCAGGCAGTCTGCTCCTCTGCCCAGGCTGTCAGCTCAGCACCTTCCCAAGAGCCAGCCAGCTCTCCCTCAACTCGGGGAAAAGACTAAAGGAACTGTGAGGTTTAGCCTAGAGGAGGTGAACACTGGGGCAGGCAGAGATGCATAATTTCCATTTTCTCTTGGATGCCACTGGCAGTGAGGAGCAAGGCAGAGTAATGGTGGGAGCCACCCAATGACGAGGGGGCCTGTGTCTGGCTGTGGTACCCAGGCTGGCCTGGCTCTGCCCCTGAGTATCACGTAGCTCCTCCCTCCCCAAGGTCAACTCTAAGTGATACTCCCTGCTACACCACAGCCTCCCAGACCTCTGATGGTGTGTGTGTGTGTGTGTGTGTGTGTGTGTCCACTGGTTTTGTGCATGAAAACGCATTCTCTGCATCCTGGGGGTCATGATACTACGTTCACTGTATATATCGAACATTCACTTCGTGTATGTTGCCTTTGTTTTAAAACACTGAGTGTACATCAAATGGATGGTATGAATGTGTTTGTATGTTTCATGGCTACTGTCTGTGTGCATCCGGTATGCATCCTCTGTCTACCTTTCCTTTATGGCACGTGTACCCTGCATGTGGGTTATTGTACATGTATGTTATGGGTGCTACACTCCTGTTGAGTGTATATGGTATATGTATTGCACATATCTTGGGTACCACATGGCTGTTGTATGCACTTGTTCCATTCATTTCACAACATTGTTTGCTACTTGCGTATTGCGTGCATTATCTCATGTGCCCCACATGCATGCTATGTGCTACGTGTGGCATCCATGCCCACACACCCCGTGTGTTGTGTGTAACTGTGATGTGTGTGCTTGCATGGGGTGTACGTGTTTGTGTTCCGGCTTCAGACAGCTCCGCACAGGTCTCCCGGGTGCAAGTGGCCATCCAGACCCTGGATGAGAATGACAATGCTCCCCAGCTGGCTGAGCCCTACGACACCTTTGTGTGTGAATCTGCAGCCCCCGGCCAGGTGAGCCGCTGAGGCAGAGGGGTTGGGAACTCAAGACCTCTCCAGCTGCCCACTCCATACAAGGCTTCTTTTCTTCCTCCCAGCTGATTCAGGTCATCAGGGCCCTGGACAGAGATGAAGTCGGCAACAATAGCCGTATCTCCCTTCAAGGTCCTCTGGATCCCGATGCCAACTTCACTGTACGGGACAACCGAGGTGGGTAGCCTCCTACAACCGTGCCCGTGCCTGCTTCCCTCCTCTCCTCTACCACCCTCCGCCCTGCCTGCCTACCTGGGCCCTCCACCCAACAGAAGGTGGATGTGGTTTGGGGAGTTCCCTGGTGGCCTAGTGGTTAGGATTCTGGGCTTTCACTGCCGTGGCCTGGGTTCAATCCCTGCTTGGGGAACTGAGATCCTGCAAGCCGCGTGCGCAGTGGGGCAAAAAAAAAAAAAAAAAAAAAGCCACAGGATGGATGTGGTTTTGCTCTTTGCAAACCTTCCCCACAGAAAGCTGTCTCCGTGGGCTGCATCAGCCTTACTGGGAACGTGTCCCAGGAGGTGACCCAACACCTTCCTCTCCCACAGATGGCTCTGCCAGCCTGCTGCTGCCCTCTCGCCCCGCCCCACCCCGCCAGGCCCCCTACCTGGTCCCCATAGCACTGTGGGACTGGGGGCAGCCGGCTCTGAGAAGCACTGCCACAGTAACTGTCAGCGTGTGCCGCTGCCGGCCCGATGGCTCCGTGGCCTCCTGCCGGCCCGAGGCTCAGCTCTCACCTGCTGGGCTCAGCACCGGGGCCCTGCTCGCCATCATCACCTGTGTGGGCACCCTGCTTGGTGAGTCAGGCCACAGTGGGACATAAATGTGGGGTCCAGGCCTGCAGGGTGTGTGGAGAGGAACGAGGACACTGGACATAGGGAAATCCATCCTAGGTCTCGAAGGAACCCTCATGCCTGGATTTTCCCACTGCCTCATGCATCCGAGACAAAAGCTCTGGCCTCACATCCCTGGCCTGTCAATCTGAGAGTCATGAGCCATAAAAACTGTTTATTGAGCCCTGACTCTGGGCCCTGTGTGGCTTTGGGCACAGCACTTGGTATTTCATCCTTTCAACAACGCTGAGGGGTAAATATGTTTTCCCTCTTTTCCACACAAGCAATCTAAGGGCGAAAGACGTGCAGGGAAGTTAAGCAACTTTCCTTGGTCACACAGCGAGTAAAGGGTTGAAGTCAGGATTCAAACGAGCTTTGCTAGATGTCAAACCCAGGGCTTGCCACCCCTAGGCCGTTCTGATTGGAACCAGGCTGCCCCATGCCTGGCCCTGCCGGCTCAGCGCCCCGTGTGCGCCTCTCCCCCAGCCCTGGTGGTGCTCTTCGTGGCCCTGCGACGCCAGAAGCAGGAAGCCCTGATGGTGCTGGAGGAGGAGGACGTGCGTGAGAACATCATCACCTACGACGACGAGGGCGGCGGCGAGGAGGACACGGAGGCCTTCGACATCAGCGCCCTGCAAAACCCCGACGGGGCCGCCCCGCCGGCTCCCGGCCCGCCCGCACGCCGAGATGTGCTGCCCTGGGCCAAAGCGCCGCGCCAGCCCCGGCCCCCCGGCCCCGCCGACGTGGCGCAGCTGCTGGCGCTGCGGCTGCGCGGGGCGGATGACGACCCCAGCGTCCCACCCTACGACTCGGTGCAGGTGTACGGCTACGAGGGCCGGGGCTCCTCCTGCGGCTCCCTCAGCTCCCTGGGCTCCGGCAGCGAGATCGGCGGCGCCCCGGGCCCCGCTGAGCCGCTGGACGACTGGGGGCCGCTCTTCTGCACCCTGGCCGAGATCTACGGGGCCAAGGAGCCCCCGGCCCCCTGAGAGCCGGCCTGGCCCTGCCCGCCGCGGCGCGGCGGCCGCACAGGCCCTCTGAGTGAGCCCCCGGGGTCCAGGCAGGCGGCAGCAGCCCAGGGGTCCCCAGGCCTCCCCGATCCCCGTGTCCCTCCTCCCCACTTCCCCAGGGCAACCTCCTCCTTACCTCCCTCGTCCTGAGTCGTCTGTTCGTCTCTCTCCAGGGATCTCTGTCTCTGTCTCTGACACTCTCCCTGTCTGGGTCTGCGTTGGGCGGCTCAGACTGAATCTCTCCGTTCTCTCACTGTGATTCCACTGTCTTGTGGCTCTGTTTTGGTCTCTCCCATTCTAAATCTGTCACTCACGGCTCTGTCTGTCTCCCGTGACCGCACACACGCTTTCTGTCTGTTTCCTGCCCACATCTGCCCGCATTCTCTGTGGGTCCCTGTGACTGGCTTTTTGGTTTCTTCCGTTGTCCATCCCAGAAACAAGAGAAACTTCCAGCCATTGCTGCCCACCCTCCTGCAGGGGATGTTCTGCCCCAGGTCAGTGTCCCTAGACTATGTGGAACACAGGGGTGGCCCAAAGCCCTCCCTCACGCCCCACCTCTCACTCGGGCTCCCCTGTCGTTGCAGACCTGCCCGCATGGTTCCATCCATCACTCATGGCCTCATCCTGGCTCCATTGGCCTCCAGCAGACAGAGGGAGCCAGCTCACCTCCCGGGGCAAGAGTTCCAGCCCCCAGCGTGGCCGCCTCCCTGGAGCTCTGCCCACCTGTCAGCCGGCCCTGGGCATCCTAGCTCTGGGCATTGTCTTGTGTGCTTCCCAGGCCCCAGGGGGAGGGGTGGGAAGGAAAGAGGGAGGCAGCTGGGGAAGGGGAAGAGGGAGGAAGGGGAGGGGCCTCCATCTCTAATTTCATAATAAACAAACACTTTATTTTGTAAAGCTGGAGTCCTGCTTTCCGTTCTGCACTCAGGTGTCTGTAAGAGCGTCACTGTGCCAGAGGGCTGGAGGAGAGGCCTAAGCCCACCCCCTCGGCCCCTTCTCCTTTCTCCTTTGGGGGACAGTCGCTTCAAGTCCCTTTAATAGAGGAGGCTTTGGATTGACACCATTCAGGGACGAAAGAGATAATGACATGTACCTCTACCCCCACGACCTCTGGGTTCTCTGTTGGTCTCAGACTGTCCAAGGAAATTAAGATGTGGAGATTGGCCAGAGGGGAAAGTGGGAAGGAGAAAGTGGAGAAAAGGGGGAGCTATAAAAGACTAAGAAGAGAGGAAGAGGAGCTCTAGACTAAGAATAAGTATGGGTGGGGAACAGCAGAGTGGGGCAAGCCAGTGCCTCCTGGGGCCTGTGGTCCCAGTTGGAGAAAGGGTGGGCCAGGGCGAGGTGGCACAGTCACAGTGGATCTGGGGCCTCTGCTGCCCCACCTTCTATTCTTCCCAGTCTCTGGTCTTACTCTTTGTGGGCACAAAGAGGAGGGAGAGGGACCAGGGAGGCGGGCTGTTCGAAGGGCTGAATCAAAGTCAACTGGGGGGAGTGGGAGCCCAGTGGGTGGCCAGCATCTCTCACCGTGCACTCCCTAAGCAGAGAAGGGGTCCACCCGGCAACCAGAATTAGCACCCACGCCTCGTAACTCCAGGCAGGGCTCCTGGGGACTCAAGTAGATGGGTCAGGATAGGTCCTTGCGACCTTCCCCTCCAAGTGCGGAGTGCAGATAATCAGGGACAGCTGCTCTAATGGGAAGACGCCTTCTTGTACCTTCCACGCCATTTGCTTAGGGCAACCAGACAGCGGGAGAACAAGGACCCTGCTCCGATGCTGGCCTTGTCATTGACTGCTGAAGGTTGGAACCGGGCCCCTGCCTGCCTGAAGGCCTGTGTGAGAGCAGACCGTCTGCCCCTGAGGGAGACGATCAGGAGGCAGCACTCCAAGCAGGGTGCCAGAAGAACAAATCTTCCTGTTCAGAGCTAGATCCACACCTTTGGTCTCCCCTGATGTCTGCATCAAGCCTCCAGGAGTAAGTGGAGAGAAGGAGGGATTGACTGGTGGGCCGCCCCTGGGCAATGAGGAGTGCATTGAAGTGGGATGCAAGCCTTTGCCTCCTCTCCCAGCCCTCCTTAACACCCTCCTGAGGTCCTCCCCAACTCATTAAGCTTCAAGGAAAACAACAATGTAGGGAATCAGGCTTTTCGGCTAGACCCTCGGGCTTACCTCTGGTCTTAAATACCTCACCATTGGCAACACAGAATCTGTCAAAGGGAGTGAAAAAGGGCAGAACCATGGAAGGAAAAGAGGAGAGAGAGAGGGAGAGGTGATGGGAGGAGACGCAAGAAGAGTGGGGCTCCCCCGCCCCGGTTATGCCCTCCCTATCTGGGTTTAATCCTCCTTCCCTGATTAATGGGAAGAGGAGGGGCACAGAGTGTTGCAGGGGGTGAGCTGCATGTGGTTCCCAGGGAGCCTTGCGCTGGGCTCAAGTGGCAACCCCAAGCTAGCCCGCCCCTCACTCCCTGCCTTTTCTCACCCCTGGGGCTTCAGGACAGGGGTGGGAGGATGCAGAAGTATGGAACCAGTGGAGTGAGCCCTGCCCCACCCCACTCTGGACCTCTTTTCCCCCAAAGAAGTGATAAGGCCCGTCTTTCTCCCTGATAACTTCCAGCCTGTTTCCTGTCTCTGCACATAGGAACTGCAGGTGCATCGCCTATCCTGGATCACTCACATACAACAGGTCACAGACCCACACTCACCTCTGCATGTGGAGGTGCCCCCTCTTATGTCTAAGTCAATCAAACACTTGAACCCTGGGCAAAAGCTGCCCTTCCTCCTGTGTTCCTCCAGGACCAAGCTGGCCTAGGGGTCCTTGACCTCTAGTGATCATTGCCAGTGTCCTGCACCTCCTCCCCTGAGGCTGAGGAGTGGGTGAGGGATGAAGAATTGCTATGGAGGCCACCAGCCAGATTCCCAGACCCTGGCTCGAAGCCTAGTCTTCCTGTACTGGGCACCTTTCTGTGGCCCCCCTCCCCGTGACCGTTTCCCCCCCTCTCCCCTACTGCTTTCCCTCTTGGGACTCCCTCAGCTTTCTTCCCTCCTCTCCCATCATCCCCTGAAAGCCAGAGCCTGCTGGGGCTCCTCTGTCTGGCCAGCTCCTGCCTGGAGGAATTCTTAGCCTGAGATGCAGGCTTGGGGCTCACGACTGGGCTGGAGGCTGGGAGGAGGGGTGTCCAGGAGGGAGGAAAGGTATAGTTCATCTTGGGACTGGAAGCTGTAGGAGTGGGATAGAGAGAGAAGATTCAGGAACCTTCAGGTGCCACCTCCTAGGCTGACCGTACTTTCCTCCCTCACGTGGCCCGGGGAGGGGAGGGCAGGGAGGCATCCCTCCTGGAGCTGTCACCCTGCATCGCCCAGTCAGGGCTTACAAGGGAGCGG